CCACTGAAGTGACCGTTGTCTAACCGCTTCCACACGTAGAGGTCTTTATACCTATCTACAAGGCAGAAGTTCTCCCCATGGTGTCCTGTGGTAAACAGCCGAAATCGTCTTGTGGGTTGAAGGGTAGGGCTCAGCTTAACTCCATAACGGCATCATACTTGACGTAAGGCGCTAGTGGTCATGTCAGATCAGTTCAGTTTAGTTTAGTTTGCACAGCACAGGAGATGGCAAAGGGCCAATCGAGCGTCTAGAATTCATTTGGCAGTAAACCCACGTGATGGCCCCACCACTGCTAGTTTTCTATATTGGAAGTTTTTCACACTTTCTGCTCATCCTAGTCTCCGCGGCTCTTAGAGGAGAGGAGGAAAAATATCTTCTCCCCTTGTTCAGGGTAGGGACCCCATTTTTGGAATAAAACTAGCGGTAGTATCTTTTTGGCTGGTATTTCGCACACTGACACTCAGCACGAGTTGCCAGTTGAGCTCTCATTGTACCGCCACTGCCTTGTTGCTATCCCTGGTGTACTGCAATGAGGATCTTTGTATGCCTATTGATTTAAATATGTGTCAGCTCCTATTTCCATGCTGCATCACTCTTTTAATCTCTTGGATTCATTACTGCAATTTGCTTTTCGCTGTCTTGGGTTTCAGGGGAGCAAATCGTTCCTGGAGAAGCAGGATGTGTGTTTTGACCCGGGTTGTCTATAGTGGTATTTTACAGGATCGGGTACCACGTCGGATCAAAGTTCTAGCTTTTGTCTTATCACATCGCCCGTCGTGTCGATAATGAGTGTAATTTATTCGCTGCCATGATATTACGCGACAGTATAAGGGGAACAGAGATCGGCTTATTTATCGATCTATGAAAATCCTTCCGATAAAACCCAGACAAACCACTCTTGAACCCATTTCATGATTTTGATGTTCCACTCGTTCAACACCATTCACCCCATTCACACCTACGCAGTTTGATGCTGTATTTAACTTGTATATTTACACATGAACCCAACATTTGACTTAGTTCGTTTGTGTCTCACACGGACCGTATTTGCTTTGATCGTGATCTGACCGCTCACTTTCGACTTGTTTAAGTGTAGCGCGAGCAACAGCGGAATTGATCTCCTAAAGTGTGACCTGAAAGATGAGCATTGTAATGGGCCTTTTAGGCGAATAACTGGCGCGCATCAATATATTTTGTTCTAATATTTGCTCCTTGTTGATTTAAATTTTTGGATTTACTGACCTATTCATCAGTTATATAACGGGATTTACAACTTTTTGTCTAAATATGACAAAAAATGAATATTTTGTCTCTCACTGCTACAAAACAATAATTTACTAAATTATGGGATTAAATTAAGGAGTGTGCATTTTTTCATGCCTGTAATCCAAAATAGGAGAGTAATAATTGATTGCAGTGTCCTTCTTACATGTGTAGTCGTCCTCTTAACGGCAAGTTATACTATTTTCCCTAAAAGTGAACTCAAAATTTGGAAAACTAATTCACGAAACCTGGAAAGAGTTAATTTAAAGTGGGAAACAAGGTAAATAAACGAGAGTTGAGAGGATGCATTACCATGGCAAAGCCCGCATCTATGGTAAAAGGCGAGCACTCAAGGTGAGCGTTGGAGATCAATTCCGTCGTACCGGCGCTTAAATTAATAATAATAATAATAATATTAATGGTATATTTCTCGGATTACAACGAGAGACATGCATGTGGTGCACGATCATGGCAGGCAAGGTACAATGACAATGGCCTCATATAACACACAACAAAATCTGGGAAAATGGTCATGATGTTTGTGAAAACGAAGTATAATAGGGAATTGTTGGGTGGAATAAGTTATTGTTTTAACGCTCCATTTCACATTGTAGCGCAACCCAATTTCAACTTCAAGGTCACTAATAAATTCAGAGTGATACATTTCCGTGGAATGACAACATAAACGTAGATATGTATAAGGATGAATAAAGATGAAAAATATGAAAAGTAATCGGTATAAGACGATGAATTGCGGAAGAAAAACGTTCCTGGTGAGGTAGAAGTGATCGTAAGCCAAGTGATACACCCGAGTCTCAGAGGGGTTAGAATATATGGCAACTGTCAGCTAGGGAGACATACTCACTCGTTTATATATAGCAATATTGCATAATATGGGTAAATTATTTGCTTTATTTGCTAATTTC